AAAGACTTAAGTTATAAAAGGACACCCTTCTATCTATAAACAGGGGCAAAATTCTTTGGAACAGTTGTGAAGATGCTGGGGAAGGAAAAGGGTTTTTAGCTTGTAGTTGCACTGAGGCTTGAAGGGGAAGTAGAGCCTGGATGATCAACTGAGCAGAAGGCCTTTCAGTCAGATTAAATGAGCTTAGAGATCTGAGGGCCAAGTTTCGCCAACACAGAGAAGGAGGGACAAGTCTTGCTATGAGAGGGAAGAAAAAGAAGCCCTTCTGTGGAGAGACTGTATGTTGGCAGTGGGAATACAGAAAGTAACTGACAGAGGTGCTGCTTAATGATTACTATCAATAAGAGGTATCATTAACTGCTGTTGATAAAGTTGTGTTTCTAAAAAAATTGTTTTACCACAGTTTTTCAAACAGGCCCCACTACTCAAAGCTTTCCTCCTCAAACTTATTTTGCTAAACTTGTACCTGTGTGAGTGCCAATTTCCAACACACACACACACACACACACATACACACACACACACACACACTTCTCATAGAAAATATTTAAATAAACTTGCAGTGTCTAATCTACTCAAATCCTTTCTAAGTTCTACTCAGAACCCTTGGGAAGATTAATAAGAAATCTCTCCCTATATCTCAACACTACTTTCTACTCACCTCAGTTAAGGCAGTTATTTTTCGTAGTTTTGTTCTTGACCTATATTTCTACTCCTGTACCTCCATAGATATGAGCTCCTTAAAGTTAGAGAACATATCTCTTCAAATTTGCATTCCCAGACTCTAACTACATGGCAGTCACATAATAGGGAGCTAAACAAAGCTAGTTTGGGATAAACAATTAAAATTTTTGGCAAATGGAAAGGAAAGCCAATCAAGGGCAAATTAAAGGGTCACCAAAAAGAATGATTCACATTCTATTGAGATGTGAGTATGTGCATTTATCAACATGAACCAAGTATTAGATTTTTCTTTAGGTACTATTTCAAGATAAAGGGCAGAAAAATAAAGTTATCACAGTAAACTTTACTCTTAGCAGTATTTTTTAATTCTCATTAGTAGTCCAGTATTTTTTCTTTATTTCAGCTTATAAAAGCTATGACCTTCTATCAAGATGGACAGCAGACAGACTTGATGCAGTTATCATATCAACCAAGTAAGAGCTGTGTTGATTTGATTTTAGGCCACATGCATTACATATCAATATATAATCAACTATATAGAGTGTCTCATTATGCCAGAAATTCATCTTTGTCACTGATGACATTGAGTGTGGACAGAGAAACCTAATGTCAGAGACTGTCCAGTCCAACATCAGAGAGAAAAGACATACACACATTTTTCAAGAAGGAACAAAGGCCAGAAAGTCAAGAAGTTGTTCAAGTGAAATTAGCCTATAGTATCACATGGACTTAACTACCACCTCTGGACTTTTTTCCCCTATAATTATCAGAATATTAAGGATGAGGACTTTGGAGCCAGAGGACTGGGATTAAATGTAGGCTCTGCAAATTGGTGACTATGTGATATCTTAAAAACATTTAACTCTAAATAATAATAATTTGCATATTTCAGCATTGATACAGGGATTAAATGTTATAATCATTTAACAGTGCTTGGAATGGTGCCTAGAACCTAGTAATCCATTGATGAAAGCAACCATTACCGAAGATAACCATGAAAATTAAGACAGAACATATCTCAAAGTCCATTCTAGAGCACACTTTAGAAAAAGTAGAGGGGTTTTAATTTTCTATAGAACACATTCTCTGTGAGAATCTACTTAAACCTTAAAAAATGCAGAATTAATGGACCAATATGTTAATAGTCATGTGAAATTGAACTATTTTGATAAGGCTGGAAAAGTAATTCTGGAAATGCAAATAAGTAATAATAATGACTGATTCTTTACAAAAAGATTTGGCAATTATCAAAAACATCATTCTATAAATATTTTTAGCTAGGAAAAGATAACAGCTAGGACATTTTCCTCAAGATTGAATGAAATTTTGCATTCAAACTTTACATTTTGATTACCAAAAAATGGCAGTATTTAGTGACTGTCAGTCAGATTTTATGATTAGGAAGAGCACGGTTTTCAGTTAATAGAAAACATTCAAATATATTAGTAAAAACAAAGTTTTACTTTTGGTTTTGGATCAGGAGTACATACTTTGTTTTGGTATGTGACTAAAAATCAGTGATTGAGGAATATTGTTTTTCTATCTACAGCTACAGACTAGCCCCAAAGTATCATTTTCCAGTTCAATTTGAAGATGTATACACTGCATTAAAATGGTTTTTACACCCCAACGTTCTTGAAAACTATGGTGTAGATCCCAGTAGAGTTGGTATCTCTGGAGATAGTGCTGGAGGAAATTTAGCTGCAGCCGTGACTCAGCAGGTAAAACGCTCAACATTTTCACTTACTGTATTTTCTTTTATCTTTTATTTAATGACTTTTTGATTCATACATTTAAATTATATAATATATGAATATTTTTCTTTTACTTATTTATGGAACATTGAGAAGAATAATTTCATACTTTAATACTTCTTTTTTTTTATGTAAAATGCTGACACAATTTCCTATGTACTATACTGTCATTTTTACTGAGAGAAAATCATAAATGATAACAGTAACTGTAATTGGGAAGTCAGAATATTGTATATAACCTGAGTATATACTATAATATATGTATGTGTGCTTGCCAGAAACAAATACAGGTCATCACTAAGAGAAGGCAACATGATCCCAAGTTTTAATTTATTCCTAAACTAATTTTTTATTTCAATAATCAATAGAGAGTTGAAGGTAAGCACAGACAAAGAGGAAAATAAGAACTAGTTAACAGAAAAAATATATAGCCCAGATTCAGATATTGTTATCATTAGAAAAAATGCTTTAATCTAATGTATTTAATGTAAATAAAAAAATGTATTTTAAAAATTGAAAATACGTTCATGGAAGAAATTATAAAAATATGAGATATCTGAAAAGTAAACAAAAAAACTTCAAAAAATGAAAATGCTAATCATCAAACATACATTCAATGTACGCTTTCTAAAGACTTTATATTTTTAGAGCAGTTTAGATTCATAACAAAATTGAGAGAAAGGTAAGATATTTTCAATATACTCTCTGTCACACATACATAGCCTCCCCCAATATCAACATCCCCCACCAGAGTGGTACATTTGTTACAATTAATGAACTTATATTGACACATCATAGTCATCCAAAGTCCACAGTTTTTATTAAGGTTACACTGCTTGTGTTACAATGTAGGTGTTTGTTAGTAGATTGACTGCAATGTAACAATATAACAAGCTGGAAGATGGATCAGAAAAATTATTTATAATATTGAACAGAGAGATTAAAAGATAGAAAATACAAAATAATGAGAACAGACATTAAGAATGTGGTGAGAAAGACTAATACCAATATATCCTTCTATTCTAAGGACAAAATGAGGATATTTTTTGAGAAATAAAAATTCAAGAGAATTCACAACCCAGTATACTGTCATTTTGGATTTTTGAGGGGGATCTTGGGGGGGTAATTAAATTTATTTACTTATGTGGGTCTTATTGTTTGTTTGTTTGTTTTAAATGAAGGTACTGGTGATTGAACCCAGGACCTCATGCCTACTAAGCACACACTCTATCACTGGGCCATATCCTCCCTCTGTCACTTTGGATTTTAAAGAGGATTAATTCAGGCAGAGGAATATTAACCTCAAACAGAGTATCAAAAAGGCAGGAAGAAATAAAGAGCAGGAAAAAAATGGTAAATATATTGACAAACCAAAGTGAAAATAAACATTGACTGTATAAAACAATGACAATTGTGTCCTGTGAGATTTAAAAATAGAAAGAAATTAATATACACAATGACAATAGCCAGTACATGGAGAATAAACAAAGTATTAAAGTGTTCTAATAACTTTCTATTCTCTAAGAAGATAATAAAGATATAATAATGGACATTGATAAATTAATGAATTTGATTTTAATCCATAGTGTAACCTATAAAAGAATTCTTTAAAAATGTACAAATAAAATAAAATGTACAAATAAAAAGGGTGATATCATGGAATGATAAAACCATATTCCAAAAGAATGCAAAAGAGAGGAAAAAAACTCATGGAATAGGTGAGACAAACAGAATGCACAATAATAAATAAATTTAATAAACTTAAACCAAATATATTAATAAAAATTTTAATATAGGTGGACTAAAAATTCAGATAGAATACAAAAAATGGCAAACTGGGTAAAATTTAAAAACCCAACATACGTTGTGTGAAGAAGATGTAGTAAAATTTAGGTATATAGATAGGAAGAAAGAAAAAGGATAGTAAAAGATATGTCATGCAAATACTAATTAGTATAGTTATTTTATAATCAGATTAAATAGTGTTAGAGAGAAAAAAACTATTACTAGAGTTAACATGCAACATTCCTAATTATAATTCCACTCAACTGGAAGATGGAAAAAACCCTATGAATTTATATGCAATTAATAACATAGTCTCAAAATACACAGAGCAAAACTAATGGAAAAATAAACAAAATAATACCAATAGTGGAAGAATTTTACTAACCTCTTTCAGTAACTGTTAGAAGAGCCTAACAAATTTGAACTAATGAATATAAAATAATAAACAACAGAATGTTCATTCTTTTCAAACACACAAAATATTTTTTCTAACCAAGCATATGTGGAGTCATAAACCAAGTCTCAATCAATTCAAAGGACTGAAACCAGATAGACCTGCTATATGCATAGCAGAGTCTGTGGACTAGCAGCATCAGCAGCATCTGGGCACTTGTTAGAGATGCAAAATCATGGGTCTTACCATAGACTTCCTGAATGACAGTATGAATAGTAACAAGAATTTCAAGTGATTTGTATTTACAATTAAATTTGAGACATCAAGTTGTTTGATTATGTCTCTCTTCATAGTTAGAATAATGCTTTGGATAACTAATAAAATATCACTAGAAAACCCCATATGTTTTGAAGTTAAAATACCTTCCTGATTAATCCAAATGTGAAAGAAGAAATCATAATGAAAATCTGAAAATCTTTGAACTGCATTATAATAAAAATATTACACATTATGCTCTAGGAAATACAGCTGTATCAGTACCCAGAGGAAAATATACAGTCTTAAATAAATATATAAAAATTACTAAAATTAACAAGTCAGCATCCATTTCATGAAATTTTTAAAAAAGGTCTCAATAGTAGAAGGAAAGATGAAATGAGAGAAAAAGGAGATGAGAAAGATGAGAACATAAGAGGTGAAATAGAACAGACACAATAGGATCAACAAAGTCACCAAATGTGGTTCCTTGAAAAAAGTATTAAAAACAATTAATCTCTGGTGAGACTGACCCAAAAAATAGACGGGTATCTTAATAAACCAATATAGGGAATGAAAAGGGGAATATAACTAAATATCTTGGCAGATATTTAAAAAATACAATAGCATATACTTTGAACATCTTTACTGCAATAATATACATTTATATTTATTTGAAATGGAAAGATTTATTGAAGAAGAACTGACTCTAGGAAAATATAAAACAAAGATTATCCTATTATCATGAAATAAATTGGATGATCATTTTACTATATTTACACACACATGCACACACACAGACCACACAGACTTCAGGATCAAACAGCTTTAAACACAAATTCTAACAAGTATTTTTTTTAAAGACATAGCTCTACTTCTAAAAAGGATTCCAAAAAGTTGGAAAAGTTACATTTTGAGAAGCTAATATACCTTGATTCTTAACCTGACAAGGCCAGTTCAAGAAGGAAATATCAGACATTCACATTTATGAACATAGATACAAAATCCTGAACTAAAATACTATCAAACAAAATTAAGCAATACGTTAAAAAGGTAATATATCATGATTATCTTGAGTTTATTCTAGTAGAGTGTGATAGGTTTAACATTAAAATAACTCTTAATCCAATTCTCCAAGTTAATAATTTAAAGAAGAAAATTATATAATTATCTCAATAAAAGTAAATTGTTTACAGATAATTTTAAGCATCTATAAAGATGAAACATTAGAAAGCTGTGAATAGAAGAGAATTTCCTAAATTTGAAAAAATATGTTAAAAAAAAAAACCCTTAAAAGAAATGTCGTATTTAATGAGTAGTTATTAAAAGTTTTCTCTTTGAGATTGGTTACAAACTCACTACCAAATTGTTCCTGAAGTCTTGGCCAGTGCTCTAAATGATAAGCAGGCAATACCATTTTTTTAGTGTGCTAATCAGTTTGACACTTCTTGAGTATACCAGTGCTTCAGGTGTGTACAAGTTAAAGCTGGTAGTGTTTGGAAAAACAAATCTTTTGAAAGTCTGAAATTTTTAATTTACCCAAACATTACTGTACAATAATAATAATAAAAAAAATGGGTTATTAGATACATATTTTATGACTGATAGAATAATCATTTTGTCCCAGTAGCAGAAGCACACTGAAGGATAAATTAGCTTAGAAGAAAATTTAAAATTCTACTGCTCCTGGGAAAAAAAAAAGGACTAGATCTAGAAAAGATAGAGCAGTACTCAAAAAAATTAAAAATTAGTAATTCCACATGGTTTAGTTTTATCAAACATTGAACATCTCTTCAGTTTCAGAGTTATCTCCTTTCCATTTCAATGCTTAGCTATTTAAAATATTCCTAATGAAAAAGAGGATCAAACATATGCAATGCCTCAGATTATAAGTTTAGGTTATATTAGTATAAAATTCACATTATAATAAAAGATCCTCTTTCACATCCTATGAGGAGAGTGGTACAGATTATTTTTGTTTTGGAAATTAACTTACATTTAATTTATGAATATCTAGTACTAAAATTTATTTGATATTAAGATTCTTATTTTTTATCAAAATGTTGTGTATTGTTTTTTAAGGATTTTAAATTTTAGAATACATTTTTTGCAGTGCGTTTTTTTTATTAAAGTGTTTATTTAAGCAACATATTCTAATTTTTTTCAGCTATTAGAAGACCCAGATGTCAAGATCAAACTCAAGGTCCAGTCTTTAATATATCCTGCCCTTCAGAATTTTGATATGGATTTACCATCATACAGAGAAAATTCACATTTTCCAATTCTGTCCAAATCACTCATGGTCAGATTCTGGAGTGAATATTTTACTACAGATAGGTCACTTGAGAAAGCAATGCTTTCTAACCAACATATACCTCTGGAATCAATTCATCAGTTCAAATTTGTTAACTGGAGTTCTTTGCTTCCTGAGAAGTTTAAGAAAGGCCACATTTATAAGACTCCAACTCATGGCAGTTCAGAGCTGGCTAAAAAATATCCAGGTTTCCTAGATGTGAAAGCTTCACCTTTGCTAGCTGATGACAATAAGTTGCGTAATTTACCCCTGACCTATATCATCACTTGTCAATATGATGTCTTAAGAGATGATGGGCTCATGTACGTTACTCGACTTCGGAATTCTGGAGTCCAAGTGGTCCATAACCACGTGGAGGGTGCATTCCATGGGACAGTTTCTTTTCTGTTTATGAAAATTGGTTATAGGCTAGCCAACCAGTATATTAGTTGGCTAGATGAAAATCTGTAGTAAAAATCTGATCAATATAGTAAAATGTAAGCCCCCATGTTTCAGGAAAAAAGAACTAATACCCAATGGATTCATGTTAGGAATGCATGTTTTATAGGCAAAAGTCTTCCTAAATCTGCATGTATGTAATTGTTATGTCAATGAATTAGTCTCAGGGTAATTCACTCACCTTTGTTTCTTAGAGTGTATTAGATTTTATTTTTCTGTTATTGTTATCATTTAAAAATATCTAGTTTTCTTACATTACTTTCATTTTTGTTGCTTGATACATTTTATTGCATTAGAAGAAATGTCTGCTTGTTTAACATCAAGGCTTTACTCAGTATGGTTTCAGATCCTTGGAGAAGCTCCATTTATCGCTAGTATGAATGGAGTTGTTACTCTTTCTAAATATTTTTGTCCCAGTTCAGTGTCACCTTTCTACCATTGTAAAATATATTGCTTAATGCATAACCCAACTCCTTAGTCCAAGACAATAAAGTCTAAACAATTATATATTAAAGATACCTGGATCTGTTGATGTTTTGATGAGAGGGTAGTGACAGCTTATTTTAGCCAGACAAAACCATTTACACTTGGTTAATCTGGTCCTTGAGATTGGCAAGGCGTCAGTATAAGAAAATACTCCAAATATGAGTGACTAAATAGTAATGGGAGAAGCACAAGTAAAAAAATGTGTATGTGTATATACATATATGTATACACATATGCTTATATACCAATATATTTTATATATAAATATACACATATATATTTGTAAACATATACCAAATCTCAATATAACAATATGTATTTAAAAATAATTGTGGAAAAATAAATTATTGAGTAATGAAATAGGGTAAGTTTGAAGATGTTTTATGTGAAATAAATTGATTTTTTTTAACTGTGTGTATGCCTCTAAAAGGAAACTCTGAAACATTATAAATTCAATAATTTAAAAAAAGTCTTTCCAAAGTATTTTGTTGAATCCTTCCATGACTGGTGTTTGACATCATCCTCTACCTACCTCAAAGGATGCTACAATAGAAAAATTTAGTGAATAAAAGTAGTCCAGTGTTAATCAGAGTTCAGTGTACTAAAAATATTTGCTTAACTGAATCAGCATGTTATTACATGTGATACTTTCACATAAAACAAGCAAAATCATTACCAAATAATATGAATGGATATGGATTTTACGAGAACAGAGGTCCAGAAGCACAATTCATATACCATTATTATGTGTATTTTATTAAATTTATAGCTGATTATTTCATGTTTAAGGCTGTTGCAAATTGCAATATTTCTTTTTTGTAATTTTCATCTTCTAATTATTCACATTGGGAATACAGAAGCACAGTTGGGTTTATATATTGACCTTGTATCCCAAAACCTTGCTTAACTCACTTTTTACTTCTAATAGCTTTATATTAGATGATTTATTATTTTCTGCATAGATAATCCTATCATGTGTGAGTAAACAGAGTTTAATCATTTCTTTCCAAACTGCATGCCTTTTATGTCTCTTTCTTGCTTTACTGCATGTCTAGGACCTCCAGTATAATGCTAGGAGAGAAAAAAGTTGTGATAATGGATACTCTTGTGTATTTTTCCACTGTTAGTGGAAAAGTATTCAGTTTTCAACTGTTGGATATTAGGTCTATTATTTGATTGTTCCATATAAGGTCTATATTTTATAGTTGCTTTTTATCAGATGCATATATTATCTTCTACTTCAAGTTTGCTTAGTGACTTTGGGAAAAGAAAATAATTGTTGAATTTTGCCTAATATGATTGCTACATAAATTAAGATAATTATGGTTCTTTTTTCTTAATTCAATTTCTGGTTGATTAATCTACAAGGTCAATCAATTTTTGTACTCCAGAGGTATATTACACAATAGCATGCAATATTTTGTATATACTACTTTTTCTTTCTTTCTTTTTTTAAAAGAACAGATTTTTTTAATGCAATTTAGAGACTCAGTTGTGTTCCTTAAGTAAGCAACAGGGTGCATGACAGTCACTGAATGCTTATGTAAATTCAGCTCTATATTTTTATCAACTGATCATCATGACTCCTTTGCTCTCTGCTGAAGAAAAAGAGAAAGCATAAATAGACGTTGTGGCAAGTGGGATTTAAAAATGCACAAAAAAGAACACAGTACAGAGTGCACTCGGGTTAATCCCCACAACAAGACTTGCACTGTAGCATTTCATTACATCTACCGCCAAGTCTATTTATTTTGATAAAGGTCTTCAAGAGACCCCTAGACTGTCCCACAGCATGTAAAGCATCTGGTCTCACTCGCTTTCCTTCTTACTAGCTTTTTAAGTGTGATATCTCACTCAACTTCGATGTTCCAGTTTGCTTTATGCTTTTCCTTTTGACTTATTGATCACTGATAATTGAATCATAATTACTTCTGGCAGCCTCCATGTGTTTCTGCATGTTGCAATTACCTGATGTAATCTGGGCTTCTAATTTTCCTGGAGAGCATAGAGTATCAGCAGTAGCTACTCCGAAAAGTAACAAAATAAACACGAATATTCGCTACCCACCTCTTCTTGACAAGACTTCCGTTTGGCTGCATATTTTAAATGCAAATATGCATATTTTGAATAAATCTGTGTACTTTAAAATTCAAAGAAAGACAAATACTGCATGGTATCACTTGTATGGAGAATCTAAAATATACAACAAACTAGTGAATATAACAAAAAAGAAGCAGACACAGATATACCGAGTAAACTAGTGATGGTGGGGGTACAAAATAGGGGTGGAGGAGGGGAAGGTACAAACTGTTGAGTATAAAATAGACTACAAATATTACTGTACAATATGGAAAATTTAGCCAATATTTTGTAATAACTATAAATGGAGTATAACCTTTAAAAATTATACAAAAATATTTTTAAAAGATACAAGTTAGATAATGTTTGTTTTTTAGAAAAAAACAACTAAAAAATCAGTAAGTGTGGTCAAAAGAGAAAGCCCACTTACTATTTTCATTAGGCCACCTTTCTGTAAGATTTGGTAATTTTTTGCTGGAATTTCTCATGATGGTTTTCCAAGAAAATCACATTTTCCTACAGCATCCTCTCTAAACTTCCTGAGTTGGCTAGGTTGAGATAGTTCAAAAGTCCTCAGTCACCATCACACCAGAACATCATATTTTGCTTTATTTCCTCTGCTGAAGATGCTGAAGGTGAGACATTTTAAAATATTACTTTTTCTGTATTAGTAATTTGCTAATATTTTGCTCAAGATTTTTATCTATGTCCATGAGGAACATTGATGTGTATTTCTTTTTTCATTGTAACGCCCTTTCTGCTTTAGTATCATGATGTTGCTGGCCTCCTAAAATAAGTAGGAATACCATTTTGTGAGAAAGTTTGTATAGGATTCATAATAATGTTTTCCTTAAATATTTGAAAGAAAATCAAAGCCATCTGGGATTTCAATTTTCTTTGTGAGAAGATCTTTAATTATGAATTTAATTTCTGCTACAGGTATAAGGCTATAAAACCTTACTTTTTTGAGTGTTAGTCCTTTGTGTTTTTGTATTTTTTTTTAAGGTGGTCTACTTAGTAGTAGACAATTTCTAAAATGACTTCCCGTCTCCTGCTCTTTACATACGTGTGTAATCTCATCCCTTTGTATGAGCTGGATTTAGTGTTTTCCCTTTCAGGATAGCATATGGGAAGAGTGAGGGGATGGCACTTCCAAGATTAGGCAACTTCTCTCGTCCTGGCTCTCATTCTCTCTGCGTTGCTGACTGTAATGAAGCTAGCCATTCATCCTGTTGTGAGCTGCCCTATGAAGAGGCCCCCATGGTAGGGATCTGAGGGCAGACTTCCCTCAACAACCAGCATGAATCTAAAGCCTTTAGCCTAACAGCAAACTGTGCCAAGGGACTTCGTAACGGGCAGGCTTTGGATGAGCAGATGTGGTGACAGACGGCTAATTTAGGAATCATAGTGGATCCTAAGATCTGTGACTCTTCCTCTTGTGAGACTACTTGGGAATGAAGCCACAATTTAACCTTATGTCACATTCTTTCTCCTAACTTTAGCAGATGGCTTCCTCATAGAAAAGCAATGTGAAGTCCAGTCCTAAGGGTGCCATAAATTTCTCTACTGGAGCAGGAAAACATTGGTAATAAAGTTAAAAGATGATAGATGATCATCAGGGCTGGAAAAATATTTTCAGGGATGATAAATTGACTACTCAAGTCTTGGCTCCATTGAGACTAGTTAATAAGTAATAGTGTAATCAAATTATAATATCTGTCTTTGGCCCAATGTGGGAGGATTGGCACCTTCTGAAAAGTATTACCTTAGAAAGTAAGCATTTTCTTAGTTACATTGGGAGAATTTGAAGGTTTTCAGCTTGAGGTCTTTTTCAAAAAGATTACTTTTCTCAAAAAATAGCAGCTACTCTATGTATATTTGTAGGAATAGGTAAAGGATAGAAAATTAGATGTATAGAAACTTTCATATGGTTTGGGGATTAGAGGAAGCAACAGGTCAATCTCAGTTGCCTGCAGCACTGAAACGGTATTGTGTCTGTGAATCTAAGATAGTTCCACTGGAGATACCATATAGGTCTTGTTTTTTCATCTGATCTGACAATCTCTGTGGGTTGTTTTTTTTTAATAGAACTTGGTCCATCCATAATCAATGGAGTTACTGATACCACTGGAATTATATATGCCATTTGCTATTTGTTTTCTATATGGCTTGAATGATTTACCCTCTGTTACTTCTGAATGCCTTATTTTGTATTTAGCAAAAATTTGTGTGTATCAGTTAAATCCTCCACTGATGACTTAACTATGTTTCAGTTATTTTCTTTGTGTTTGCTCTGTGAATATGCACCTTTACTTTATCACAGTCTACTCTGGTTAATACTGACTAAAATATGGCAACTTTGCTACAATATAGCTCAATTTTTCTCTTCTTTCAAATAGTCAGTGTTATATATTTTATATCTGTATATGTAATAAACAGAAGCTAAAAGAGAAAAATATATAAGTATGTACACACAAATAAGTTGAAAGTAAAAGGACAGAAAAAGATGAATCATGAAAACAATAATCATAAAAATACTGAATGGATCTAATAATATCAGGCAAAATAGACTTTAAAACAAACATTAGAGACATAGATATCTACACAGAATCTTTTATGTTTTCCAAAATATTTACAATTTCCAGTGCTCTTCATTTCTTCTAATGGATTTCGGTGACAATGCTGTATCATTTTTATTCAACCTGAGGGATTTCCTTTAGTACTTTTTGAAGGGCAGGTTTGCAAGCAACAAAGTCTGTCAATCTCCATTTACCTATTGATGACTTTATTTTGCCTTCATTTTGAAGGATGGTTTTTCTGGATATAGAATTCTTGCCTGACAGTATATTTTCCCCTCAGTATTTTGTATGTTATTCTACTGCCCTCTGGTTTCCTTATCTTTGATGAAAAATCAGCACTGTCCTTGAGAACAGATTTGCTTTAGTCTCATGTGTAATTAGGTGATTAATTGCTTTTTTCTTTTGAAGGAGTACAAAATGACATAAACTACTGTGAATTTTAAATGTATTTTGTCACTTATTCCTCAAAAAATCCTATGATATAAAAATTATTATAGTGATTCCAGTATACAGATGAAGCAGCAAGGCAGAGAAATACAATTTAACCTACACAAAGTCACTTTATTAACCTTAAAGACAGCTAAACCTTACCTTGCATCTCTGGAATCCTCATTCCTATTCACTCTGATAATTCATGACTGACTAGAAATCCAGTGGTAGCAACTGTATTCGTAAGATACCATATTTTAATTTTATTAAAACCTGTTGACACTGCCATTTGTTCCCAGGTACATCACTGTATCACCTTTTCTCTCTAACTCTGAAAAGACTAACTCACTTTCTCTATCTGCTACACACAATTTCTTTAGAA